GTCGTGACGGAGCGAATGTCGAGCATTGAAGGACAAATCCAGCAAGATGCGTGAGGTCGTCCAGTATTCTAGTAGCGTAGAACAGTTTCCAAAAGTTGAGGGCGCGATCTTAGGTTAAACTTGCCAAGTCTTTCGTGACCAGGTTTGCTGTAGCTCTGCGCCTCTGCGCGGAAGGAACTCCAGTTGACACGTCTACAACCTCGACAAAACCCTTGCGAAGATGCCTTTAGAGGATCGCCAAAACTTTCCTGTACCTAAGTGGTGGTTGCGTATGTTTTCGCTGTGGTACTGTGGTACCACAGAGGCCGTAGGCTGAGGCGACCCTTAAGAAATGACCTAATTCTGTGTGGCATCTCTCCTGGTTCCTCGCAGGGAAAGGCCATCGAAGTGGAGCTTCAAAGCACGAAGTGATTCAGAGCAACGGGCCAGGAGCCTCTTCCATGCTCGTGGCTGCTGTTCTTAGGCGATCGGAGAGATCTAGCCGTACTAGTAACCCTCAAGCCCCCTAAACCCCAAACCCGAAACCCTAAACCCTAAACCCTCAACCCTGAACCCTAAACCTCAGTGTAACGTCAGGACTTCGGCCCGTTCCCCGTCACTTGAGATGCGGGGACACGAGCCTGGCAGTGCTTCTCGAAGCAGGAGCTCTTGGCCTCCTTGCCACTGCGTTACTCCTAGCTCTCCAGTATAGTATTATCAGAATCATATCTCATATCTCCTGTTAGCAGAGTTATGGCAGTTCTGGGCAGCCCCTAAACCTAAACCCTAACCCTGAACCCTAAACCCTTCTGTTCCCTGTGGTGACCTTGAGAGGAGTCCGTCCGAAAGCTCCAGGTCGGCAGCAAGCAGCAGCAGGCAGGGCAGAAAGGGATCCTGTGTCTGTACCCATAGGCCCCCATAGTAGTTCCTTTTTCTTGTTTACATGTAGGATCTCATACTTATATGTTCTATATGGTAATCCCAAAAAGGAACTGCTGTGGAGCCTATGGGCACTGGCGAAGAAGTACTCGAGTTCTCTCAGCCAGCGTAGTCAGTATAGTCTTCAGGAGCAGCCGGAAAATCCGATGCCAGGAGTGCGGCGGCAAAGTGGAACAAATACACCGCGCTCACGCGTGCGCTCAGCAGGCTGAGCTTTGAGCAGAAAAATGGTTGAGTTAGGCGGTTCCCAGTCCGAGCAACGTGAAGAAGAATTGGTGAAAGCTGGTGTGGCTTCAAGGGGTGGAGGAAGCAGCCTGTGCGGATTCAAGAAGAGTCTGAGAGGGATTTGGATTCGGAGTGTGGCGTTACACCGCGATTTCCTCCCACACATCTTGCATCTTCATGCAGGCGAGTCTGTTTCCACACAAACGACTAAGCCTAAGCGCACCGGTAACAACAAGTTCTGGGTTCTAGTAGCGTACCAACCGCATCAACACTGCACTGTACAGCTGGCATGCGGTAGTATTTCACGATGATCTGAATCACAGATGACATGGGCATGCTTCAGCAACGAGAACGTCATGCTTTGTTCAACACTGTTGTCAGATCTATCGTCCTCGGAAGTACACGAATCTGCACATGTTCATGCGTCGTGCAGTAGCACTAGACCTTCCTCGAGCTTTATTCATAGGCTCCATAGCAGTTCCTTTTTGTGGTTTATATTTAGGATCCCATCATAAGAATTATAAGGTAATCCCAAGAAGGAACTACTCTGGAGCCTATGGGTAAAGGTAACCAACTCCGGGGCTGCTTTTTGCCAGGAGTTCTTCAAATCTCGAGAGCCCCCGAGGGCCTGCGAGGCTGGAGACATCTGCGGATTTCGGGAGGTGACCACAAAAAGGACCCGAAAATTGGATCCTAAAGGGAATCCTCAAAATGAAGGTGCCTTCGACACTTGCCGCACTTCGGCCCTTACGGGGCTCTGCCACCGTCCTCTGAGTCTGCGACCGTCCTCTGATGTCGCGCCAACCATCTGCCAGGGACAAATGGAACTTTGCAGAGCGGGTCCTGAGGCAAGGGGGGCTTGTGGTAGGGTTTAGGGGGTTAAGGGACGTTAAGGGTTTAGAGTTTTGGGGTTTAGGGTTTAGGGTTTCGAGTTGACGGGATGAAGGATCCGCCCAGCTCGGGCGGGTACTGGGCTTTCTGAGCTGGTGAGGTCCAGAAGCCCTTCTGCGGGAGCCGAGGAGCGCAGTCACAGGCACCTCGTTCTTTTGTGGAGTTTGTCGGTGTGACGTATCCGAGTGTGTCTCTGAGCAATTGTGGACTCCCGCCTTCCTGCTCAAGGACTTGACTTGTGAATCCGTTCGCCAGGGAGCTGCAGCCTGCAGCACTCACTGCCACGAAGTCGGAGACAACTGAGATACATCACAGAACAGGACCTTCTAGTCTAGGACTCTCTGGACGCCCCGGACTTCTGAAGACCTGGTTTCAAGCAAAGAGTCCGCTCTCAGGCGCTCGACGCTACTCGATGCATGCGTTGGAGAGGCTGGGGCTAGAGTCCCTGGGGCGCAACTCCGACACTCGTAACATAGAACGTGCTGGAGGCAACATACTGTAGCGTACAGTGCAGGCTACCTGCAAGAAGCAGTCTACGTTTGTCCGTTATTTGCCTCCTGCTGAACGGTGCCTAATCAGTCGACAGGCAGAGGAGGCGAGTGGGCAGCTAGGATGCACAGATCTAGATCTGCACTTGTCAGCGGAAGCCGCGGCTTCTGCTCGAATTCAGAGTACAGCCTGTCAGCATTCAGTGAGGTTTCCGAGCTCAGCTGACTTAGGCAGAAGCCGGCTCCTGACGCGCCTCTGTCCGCCGACTCTCTCGCACGATACTTTCAGGCCTGAGATTCTGGCTTCGCTACAAGGTGAGGCAGACATAGATTTATGGAGGGATTCAGTGTTCAGCGGTGTGCAGAAATTTGCGAGGGAAGGGCCGTGACGCCCTGAACCCGAAGCAGCAAGCTGCCGCCTTGTAGCGATTTTGGCCCGCATTCTTTGGGTGTTGTAGCAGCTACGGTATTTCACCGCGCATGTACAGACCATTGACCATGGCCATGGTAAGGTTCTCGGCAGTGTTGCTTGTTGGCATGTTGTCAGCAGTGCTGGCTAATCCGCCGCCTCTGCCTGGAGCAGAGCTTGTTGGGCAAGCTGTCGACATATTGACAACCACACGGTCTGGGTACAGTCGTAGCGCCGGAAGCATGTTGCAGTTGAACTACAACATGACCACGCAGGCCTTTGACAAAGAGTACGCCTATCCATGGGGCACGCACCAGCCGTCACCAATCTCCGAGTGTGAGATGTCAGTGGCCACGCTGTCTGTCAAGACCATGGAGGACTACCAAAAGCAGACCACAGAGGAAATCAAGGTAGGGGCTCACTTCAAGAGCTTCACCGGGTCGTATTCGCATTCGACCCAGGATGTGCGCGAACAGTTATCCAAGGATAGCCTTTGGGTTTCAGTGTCGCGTACGCTGTGCGTGAAGTACCAGCTGACCCTTGAGCCAGGTTTTGCTCAGTGGGATCCGATGTTCCTCCAAGAATTGAAGGCGTTACCACTCAAATTCAATCGGACTTCTCCAGCTGCATATTTCAGCTTCTTTGACCGGTGGAACACGCACATCATCACTGGCTGCTCTGTGGGTGGCGCCGAGAGCGAAGTCATCTACACCAAGTCTTCGTACACCAAGGACCACACCGAGCACGACCTGAACGTACAAGCGAGGGCCAGTTTCATAGCCAGCATTGACAAAACAGCTTCATCAAAAACTACTGTCGACAAAGAGTTTTCTGAACAGAGCACGTTTGTTGGCATTGAATCGCATGGAGGTGCCCCAACGGACGACAAGCAGTGGCCAGCTTTTGCGCAGAGTGTCATGGCGTTCACCAACCCAGTCTGCCTGAATCCAACTCTCGCAGATTTTGCTGAACTCATGATGTCACCATGGACGGCAGATGGGGACCTGCATGCCCGCGCACCAGAAATGCAAGAGGCAATGTTGCAGTACTTTCATCGTCCGGGCTGCATGAACCCTCTGTTTCCCAACTACACTGCAAGAGCGCTTCAAGAAGACGGCAGCTGTGGCCCAAAAGTGAGGAGCTTGCGACTGCATGCGTACATTGACAAGTTGGACTATGTCTCCATACGCGGTAATCTGCTCACATGGACCCATGAATGGGGTGTTGATGTCGGCTGCCAAGATGGGCACAACTACCCGACAACACTTACGTTCACAATGGAGGATGGCAAAGTGCACAAAGTTGAATGGTATCCACAGCAGAACCGCAAGCTCTACTCTCCACATCCGCTAGACTATTGCGGAGCTCCCAAGTTTACAAAGATTGAAGGTCGCGGCACTGTCAAGTTGAATGAACTCCCGACGGTAGACAACGCATGGACCACTTCCATGATGTTCGGTGATGATCCGAAAGGAGCAGCGTGGTACGAGGGCGAAGTCACTTGGACAGCTGATGACGAGTGCCAGTTTGGGGACAGAGGTTATGCCATTGTTGTGTGAGGGTGACTTCAGAAGGCATGTCTGGGTGACCCACCCTTGGGACATGTAGAAGCGGATAGCTAAGTTGATGGTTTTGTATGAGCTTTCCAACAGCTTGCCCTGGTTCTGGTCTTGACGAATGGAGAAGGTCAGCATTGATTAGAGGCGACGCCCCCCTCATTCAGACCACTTATTGCCACTGTGTTGTACGGTGTTTGTGTTATCTCGGCCGAGGGGTCACCCCACAAAGTTCTCGGAAAAGGCCAGGCGCAGCAGATACCCAGAGTCACGGGTAGAAATGGGTTACACTATCTGGTTTACCTTGGCTTCAAGCTGAGGCCTTTGGGGTGGTGTACACCTGAAGAAGACCGGTTTAGCTGCTTCGCGGTTGTTTCCGTATATCCGTGACTCCATTATCAACCAGGGAGGACCTGGTCGCAGAGGTGGCGCGGCTGGCAGGGTTGGTAACCCCTAGCCGAGACGACGGAGTGACTATGACGTGAGCTTAGCTGGCTTGTTGTTTTGGGGGTATTTCTAGTTCGAGTCATAGGGGCCAGCCCTTGGTATGTCATGTCGCTCCAATACGGCCGCACTGCGCTGTTTTCACGGGGTAAGACCACAGGAGCTCACCCCCCTTTTGCACTCGACCGGGACGCTGAAAAGCAATGCGTGTTATGTCGCAGAAGTCGCAGCAAATCCTACCCCAAACAGAACGAGTTGCCATGCAGAGCCACACGCCGTAACCATGTTGCACAAACCAGCGAAAGATAGAGCCACATCACCTAGAACAGCAAAGCAAGAACAGACAATATCACCAAAGTAGCAGATCAAAGGGTAGCAAAATCTTGAGTCAGCCACCAGAATTGGACAGGATAAGAACACAGAAGACGGAAGTTCTTCTGGTTCCACGATGTTGGGTTTCAGACCACGCGGGCCACGGGGCACCTGCAGATTTTCACATGTATGTTGAATCAGTGTTGATTTTCTGTTCCTCGGAACTGCAGTAGTCATTGAAGGTTGCGCAGGAAAAGAAGCGCAGTGGTGAGGGAGTCTTTGTTGAACACGTTGCTCATCGAGCCTCCTTGTCTTTTGTGCCCGCCTTGACATCGGTCCCATAGCTGAGCCCACGCTGTGAGGCGAAACGAGACGCTGAAAGCCCCCCGGCTGCTTTTCGAATCAGCATTGCACGACTTCAGGTTCGCAAGTCCAGAAGACAGCGCAGAAAGCCCGAACCCTACACTTGGCATTACAAGGATCCTTAAAGCCCTTACTCCACAGTACCCTAAACCCTGGAATTTCCGCTACGAACAGCAGTTGGAAAAGGGCCCACAAAAAATGGCCTACTAAACCTTGCAAGCTTGTACAAGTGTAGAAGTAGAAGAAACTTACAGAGAAGCTATGCGTATTCCACTCAGGAACGAGTTTCCGTCAGCTGCCCATGTCTCCAGAAGTTCCACGGGGTTTTGAGATCCAAGGAACACCTCAGAATATATCTGATGCCGGCACTGCGGAGGTGTTTCTCGGCAGCCTTTTCGGTGGTTCTTGCCACTAAGTGCCCAAAACCCATTAAAACCCTGAAGCCGTGTTTGCTAAACTCCAAACCCCTTGACGATGCTCAAGCTCTAAACCCCAGAACCCCTTTTCGATCCTCATACAAGCTTACAAGCCCTAAACAAACATATAAACCATACCAGAATCCTTATAAACAAGAATCAAGTCCCTTCAAACTCTTGCCAAACCCTATAATAGCCTATAGCAGCTCTGGCCAAACCCTGTAATAGCCTATAATGAACACAATCGTATCAGCTCCGGTTTCCCAACAGCAGACGACCAGGCTCGAGCGCGTGCCGCGCTTCGGCTCGGAGCGAAGTCCCGAGGAGCCGAGATGTTCCTAGGAGCCTACAAGGATCACTGATTATTGTTATTGTTATTGTTCTGATTATTATTACATTTATTAGTGCTATTATTATTATTATGATATCATTATTACTATAATACTTATCACTATTATTAATGTGAGTGTAAGAATGGGTTGCTCAGAAGGGTTCTAGACTCTTCATTAAAGGCGTCGTTTGCGGTTGAGGGGCTGGGGCGGCTAGGGCGGCTAGGTGCAGGGTTTGGGGTTTCAGATTTGTCGTAGGGCTTTAGGGTGCAAGCTTCAGATTGAGGACCGCAGACCTCACAAACCCGGTTTAAACCACCCCAAGTTACGGACCAACCTTTGAACCCAACTTAATTAATATTTTGCTCGCATCGCTGGCTCGAGGATGGAGAGCCAGCTGAAAGCCCTGCACCTCTGGAGCTTCTCCAGGTTCCGCTGGGTCCGATCTCTACATTATACAAGAATGTAGCAAGCTGCATGCCAAGAATGAGTGAGTGAGTTGAAAAGTACGAAAAAAGCACTTGAGGTGAAGTGAAGTGGAGTGATGATTAAGTTGACTGATTGATGTCGATTGATTTATTGTTCGGTTGATTGAATGAGTGAATGAATGATTGACTGATTGATTGATGGATTGGATTGGGTTGGATTTGATCTGATTTGATCTGATTTGATTGATGGTTGATTGGTTGAATGAATGAACGAATGGATGAATGAACGAATCAATGAATGGGCGAAGGAATGAACGAACCGACTGACGGACTGACTCAATGAATGAATGAGCGAATGAATGAATGAAGGAACGGAGGAATGAACGAAGAAATGAACGAAGAACCTGACTGACTGACTGACTGACTGACTGACTGACTGACTGACTGACTGGATGAATGCATGCATGCATGAATGGATGGATGGATGGATGATGGATGGATGGATGGATGGATGAATGAGTGCATTACTGGATCAGAGAAGGTATTCATGCATGTACACAGGCAGAGTGAGTCAAGTAGTACCCTTTCATAGCGCCTCTCCAGGTTCCAGTGGTTCGGAGAGCCATTTGCCGGATGCAGCTGTGAACGGGCAGCTTTTGTGCTTTCCTGCTGTCCGAAGGCAGAGCTCAAGGACATGAAGGTCTCTGCGTTGAGAGATCGCGCTGCCACCTACGGTTGTTCTGACGACACGCATCTTGGCCCTCCAGGTTAGCACTTCTCGTGTGCATGCTTGATAGCCTTGACGGTTGGTTTTGAGCAGTCTTTGTCTCAAACGATTCTCAACTGTTTTCCAAATTGCCTCGCGGGCTTCGCGCCGAGCAGAGTCTGGCAAGGATGCGGGCCGCGCTGGACAGCCAGAACCCCAAGTCGGCACTCACAGAGCTCATCTTGGCCCGGGCAGCCCAGAGCAGAGTTCTTTACGGAGTGCTCACACATTGTGACACATCAGTGACGATCCGGGATTCGAGATTTGGGGGCCAAGATCTCATTTACGTGGGTTTTTTACAGGGTTTGAGCACATGGGATGTAGCTTCGGCAAGCTTTGCGATCGAGTCTTGAGTTCAGCTGTGTAGGACTAACGTACCTGTCTGGAGCTGTGTTTGAAGAACCCCCTATTTCTGCTCCCCTTCTCAACGTGGTGAACACGCGATCACAGCGTCATGTTTGCAGCCTGACGTTCCAATGGGGTCACAGGCAATCTCCTTGAGTTCACAAAGGATTCTTCGAGACTCATGCCCCCCCGGTTGCCTAGTGTCGCGGGCGATGGTACGTGCTTCGGCGTTGTTTGCCAGAAAAAGCTTTTGGGCGGAAGTCAGGTCGACTCTAGCATTGCCTCTCCGGGAGCTTTCATGGGCAGAGCTCGTCACCCTCAGGAAAAAATCATCCTAGTGTTTTGAAGTCTGAATACCATGGCCCAGGATGTGGCCAAGGATGCTAGCGATGCTCTCATGGAGATGAGCCTGCCTGAGCTGAAGCAGCATGCGCAAGAGATGGGCATCACAGAGGCTTGGTCGGGCAAAAATGGCCACAGTAGCAAGAACAACTACTACTACAAAGACCTGCTGATGCTGCTGCCACCACGACGCCCACCACCACTACCATCCGCCATCACCCCCACCTCGCACCCTGCCCCCAGCGCTAGCACCAGCGATTGCGACGAGGGCAGCTGCGACTGCGGCTGCCATTGCCACTGCCACGGCCACTTCCAAGAAACTGGACTGCTACTGCCACAACGGCAGCAACAAGTACTTCTAAGTACTAATTACTACGCTTTTCAATTGTGGATTTGTGTGGCCGACACTCAAGACTCCCGGAGCCCTGCAAGAAGGACAGGGGCTTGACATGTAGGTCACGAGCGTCCTGAAGAACAACCCAAATCTGGTGTGTGAGGGCTGCATCTATGAAGAGTGCAGCTAGATTTAACACCTTGGGCTCGAATCTAGCTTTTAGGTCGGTGCAGGTTCAGGGTGCCTTCAGTTTGAGTTCTCACATTAATTTATGTTTTTATTTACTACCTCGGGCTCAGTTATCAAGTTTCCTTGGAGGCCCAGCTCTCCAGCGCCGAGAAGAGCAAGAATCCGAAGGCCGCTGGGAGCTCTGCGCTTTTTGGGGTTTTAGGTTGCGGCTGTGGTTCCAGACTGTCAGACTCTGCATGCCCACTATGTAGGGACTGGTTTGTAGTTCGTGGCATGTGTTGAGAGCCTGGAATGGGCTAGTGGCCAATGGCGTCATTGGCCAGGTGGCTCTCATCATGGCAATCTTCGGGAGCAATCGCGATCAAGAAGTACAGTCTCTCCGCAGCACCAAACTTGATAGCATCCTCTTTGTGACCACAATCTTCCTTTTGCATCGTTTTGTCGCGGTGGTCGAGGCTGGCAGAAACGGCCCCTGGAGAGGCCCAATCGCAAGCGCGCAAAGCCCAGAACCTTTTCAGGTTCTTGAGAAGTCACCTTCGCAGGTCTCCTTCGACGTTGGCACCAGCATGCAGTCGGTGGAGGCCTTCCATGCGAGCTTGTGAGCCTCGTAGCCATACGTGCCCTTGTGTTTTGGAGATGCCAAGCCTGCGCCAGCGAGCACTGATCATTGGACCACGCTCGCAGGCGCATGCATTGGAATTGCGGCGCAAGGTGCGCCCAGCTGAAATCAACCCGAGGTGTCTGGTGTAGCGATGTGAAAATCCCCTGTCTTCTGTATGTACGTTGCCGTGTTGACCTCCGTAGATCCAGATCGAAATTTGATCGCAGTGCTTTGTATAGGATCATAGATGCCCCAGCATGCATAGCGCCTGAACGTGATCTACCTTACTCCGGGCGCCTTGGATCAAGCACACAATCCCGAGCGTTTTCCGCGTAACTCCGGAAGCCGACATTCGTTCCAAAAGCGAGCACCTCATTTTGGGTTGAATGTGCATCTATGTTTGTTCTGTGCCCATTCATAGAATGGTCTTGTGTCCCAAGCAGGCATGTATGCCAAGTGCGTGTGTGTACGTATGTATGTATGTATGTATGTATGTATGCATGCATCTATGTATGTACTGCATTGAGATGCAATGCAATGCAATGCAATTGTGCAGGTATACATGTGGCAGGTATACTCTATGTACATGTGTCCAACTGTATGTAATCATGTACAGGTAAAAATGCTATGTATGAGAAAAGTTACAATGTACACACTATATATACACCATGTCACTACGTATATCGTGTCTAACTATGTCTACTGTATAGACAAACACAGATGCATGTCATGTCACATATGTGCGTGTGTGTATACTTATACATATATATATATATGTATGTATATATGTATATATATATATATGTGTATATATATATGTACATATGCGTTTTTTACTCGTATCTCTTCGGATGTGCGAAGTGCAAAGATGCCGGGCATCCAAGCGAAGCCAGGATTTGAGCCAAGAGCCCGGCCCTCATCAGCTCGGCCTGAACCCGAGAGCTTCAGCTTTGCCAGGGGGGACGTTTGGAAGGCAGAGTTTTGGAGTTTGGGCATCGAGGGTTTGCTCTCTCTTTTTTTGCCCTTGAAGGTGCCGGTGAGGGCTTTGGGTGAAATGTCTAGGGTTTCGCAAAGCTCGAGGTTTCTTCTAGGATGGGTTACGATGGCAGGAGAGTTGTGGACATGTCCCCGTTCAATTGATGTGGCAATATAGCAGTGTGCGATCCCTCTACCGCTTTCACTGCAGTACCCGTGGTCGTAGTGATAGTAGTGTTGATTGTGGTGGTAGATCGTGGTCTTCGTGGCATTAGCAGTGGCGGTAGCGGCAGCAGCAGCGGTGTCGCGATAGCGGTTGCAGTAGGAGTAACTATGACATGACTGAAGCAGGCCCTGGTGCATTCGGGCTCGTCTGGTGGCCGCTGCGTTGCATACAGAGAGGGAGACATAATGGACACCTTGGTGTTTTGCAGGCATAATCATCGTTTTTGCGGTTGCTGTTGTTTGCTGTCGTTGCTGCTGCCACTGCTGCTGCTGGTAGTGTTGCTACTGCTGTTGAAATTGTTCTTGCTGTTGCGGTTGCGGTTGCTGTTGCTGCTGTTGCTGCTGTGGTGGTGGTGGTGGTGGT